AGGCCTGGTCGTCCTCCCCCCTGGGCTGGCATCAACTTCAACAAATGGTGGAGCGAAGGTGCAAGCACTACATCAAGCATCCAGACACTTGCCGGGTTATCATGGAGTGTACAGGCCCACCGGAATCCAGAATGACAGCTGACCAAGCTGCTCTGACGTGGCGAGGACATGACTTGTTCAAGGCCTGATATGAAATCCATGGCATGGCCATGAACTGTTTGAACGCTGCTTTCCGACAGCCTCTCTGTGTGCCGGGGGGACCAGTGACAGTACTACCTCAGAAGGTTTTAAATATTCAGCCAGCAGCAGAATCTCCCAATTGCACACGGTGATGGCTTACGTTTCCGTGCAGCTTCCAATGTGCAGCATTGGCGGGGTCACAAGTTCCCGAAGTGGAATCGGGGGTTCAGGAAACATGTCGCCTTGATTATTTTGCAGAGCGCACACCCTCTACCGAGATCCATGTCGGGGGTGGGTTGAAGTTAATTCTCGGTCGCAGGTTGTGTTGGCTGCTGCTGGACGAGCTGCAGCTGATGTTGCAGGCCGCGCCGAAGTTTTGATTGAAGTTGCCTAGATTGTCGTTTCGAGCATCTGGGCACTGTGTCTCTGTCGGTTACTGGCCTCACGACTTAGTCGGAGAAGTTGTTGCAAGCAAAAGCTCCTCTGCAGCTTCGGGTTGGCTTCAGACACGGGACGGGAGGTGCAAAGTAGTGCCAGATTGACTAGCAGCAATGGCACCAAGGAAAACAGGGAAGGTGGACTTTCCTTCGGATTGGTGGTTGCCGTTTGAGCTGGCCAGGCAGGTCAGGTCAGAACCTGTCGTGATGGGTGGCTTGTCCGTCTTCGACGGCTTGCCGCGCTCAAGCCGAAGAATCAGCGAGGCTCTGACTGCGAAAGGTTTGGTCACGGCTTCCATTGACATTCGCAATCCCACGGACGACCCGAATGCACAGAACATTCTGGAAGAGGCTGGGTTGACAATGTTTGTGGAGCATTTGGCATCTCTGGAGAAAGAATCCATCCTGTGGCTGGCTCCGCCTTGCAAGAGTTGGAGCTTTCTGCCCAGATCCGTGTCACGGCGCAGCAAAGCCAATCCCCACGGCGCTAGCTCAGCGTGGGTTGATCTTGGGAATCAGCATGCCAAGTTCGTGGAGCAAGCTCTTCTCGCAGCCACTTCTCGAGGTACGGCTGGAACTATGCTCTGTTGAATCGCCTGTCTAGGTTTGAGGTTATGAAGTGAGGGGCTCGACCATTTGGCCAGGGTGCCGGGGTATTCGTTCATTTACGAGCAGTCTTGAGGTCTCGTGAAAACTGACTGCGTGTGGATTTCTGAATAGCAAAAGTCAGAGGGCGATCTCAGGGTCAGAATTCAGAATCATTCAAGACGCCTTTCAGCGGCCACGGGTGTGCTGTGTCATTGTTCTCTGGGTGCAGGTATATGGACTGTGCTGGAGCAGCCGAAAGGTTCGCTCCTGTTTGACGAGCCTGGTGTGGCGCATGCGCTGGGTGCCATTGGAGCCCGTTCCGTGACAGTTAACCTCGGATGTTTTGATGCGCCCAGCTTAAAGCCACTCACGCTGAAGGGCACGGCTCCATGGCTGGAACAGCTGCAAGACATCTCCAAAAAGCGCAAAGCTTCCGGCGTCGCAGATGGCCTAGACTGTCTCTGCACTTATGACGAGGATGGCAATCCCACAGGTACCGCTGCTGTTCCAGAGTCCGAAGCGTACCCCGAGGAGTTTTGCGAGCCTCGAGTCATCTTTTATCCTGTAAGACCAAGACTTATAGGATTCAGGAGTTTCATTGCCCAGTAACTTGTCCGGTAGCTGAGTCCTAAGCCACGGCATGAGATCCGAAACCAAGGACAGAGTGGCTGAGCTACATAAAAGCTATCTTGAGCGTCTCTGTCTGATGTGATGGCCCGGCCACACGAATGTCGGGCTTTACCTCAGGGGTAATGCGTCTGTGCCGTCACTGTGCTCTGCAGCTGCGGAGAAATTTCTGATAATAGGATTGCAGATTGCATTCGTCTGTGGCACCAGCAATGTGACGGGCTGGCAGCCAGTGAACATTTTCGTGTCACTGTCCATAGAGGGGCTGGCGCTTTCACCAGCGCAGCAGTCCGACAGCAGTGCGCTGGGGTTCTCAGATTGCGACAAAATCAGGAAGTCAACTGCCACGCTATGCAGGGTTGCCGGCGGGGTTCCGTTCTGTGCTAGAATCTGAATGGCTGTGGCTATGGCAGATGCCTTGCTTTGGGTTAGCATCACCTGGGCGAGAATGAAGCTTGTGACGGCTTGCGTTGCCAGAAATGATGGACCTGGTAAATAATAAGGGACGCTAAAGCAGTGGTTGCCCAAGCGTGCAAATTGAAGTGAATGACACGGAGAGGTCCATTTGAGGTCCTGTAGAGGTGCTGGAGAGGTCTGGGATCTGACAGTTTCGAGGTTTTCGGAGGTTGAAGGCATCTGTGCTATCCTGCCAACGATGTCGTTGAGTCCCACGAGTTTACTTCGTCGAAGCCCTGGTCATCCTCTGCATCCTCCTATTGAAACCATTATGAGAGTCAGCCACATCATCCTCCCCAAGCTTGTCATTTGGATTTCTTTCGAAAGGCGCAAGCCTGGCCAGCGTGGCTTCTCCATGCTGCCGCTCCAGGCCTGCTTTGCCTAGAAGGTTCCAGAAAGTGTTTTCCAGAAGGTTGGCAGAGACAAGATCTATGCGGGGTTGCGGGCGGGGTTCCGTTCTGTGCTAGACTCTGAATATCTGTGGCTATGGCAGACGCCTTGCTTTGGGTTATGGGTTAGCATCACCTGGGCGAGAATGAAGCTTCTGACGGCTTGCGTTGCCAGAAATGATGGACCTGGTAAATAATAAGGGACGCTAAAGCAGGGTTGCCCAAGCTTGCAAATTGCACTGAATGACACGGAGAGGTCCATTTGA